TCAGGAAAGACAGCTCCTCAGCCAGTCCATCGTAGTAATAGCCTGATAGCCATGGTTAGTAGATAGCAATTAGGATTCAGACGGGGACTGTGGAGGGTTTGGAAAAATGTTTTCCGATTCCTTTCCAAGCGTTTGATGAAACCCCAAGACTGTTTTTCCCATGCTTCCCCATGAAGTTTTGAAACCCTGAAGTATTTAAAGGAAATCTAATCCTCAGGTTTAGTGTCTCTTGGTGTTTAGGCCACCCAATGGAACAGCTTTTGGAGCCCAAGAAATCTCTGCCCCACGTGTTTCAAACGTGGAATCAGACCCTTGCCTCTTGAGGGCATAGACTGAGTGTCATGCTGACTCTCAAACCAGAACTGGGTGTTTGAATTTCACGAGGGTACAGACTTGACCAGTGCGTTCCCTGGTTATGGGAATTAAGATAAGCCTCTCGGGTTTGCGGCATCACTAAACCGCAGGCCTTGGAGAAGGGAGCCCTAATCTTTCAGAGGAGGAGGGTGTACAGGATGCTATACCAGCTACCCTAGCTGTGGAAGCTTTGCAGGTCTGAAAAGTGAAAAATGGCTGGCGGTGGTAGTGTGTGTCCAGAACTTGGGAGGTGGAGGACGTCAAGGTCACCCTCAGCTACATAGCAAGTTCAAGGCCAGCTTGGGCTACATCAAACCCTGTCTCAAAAAGCAAAAGTGAAAACTACTCACCATGGGAAAACTTCAATATACGACACACAAAAGACTGAAAGGTACCCATCAGCCTACCCTACAGACAGCCTGGTTTGGCTTGCAGAAACTTTCTTCCTCCCCTGGACTTTGAGAGGTGACTCTGGAGTAGCTGGGCTCAATGCTGAAGCAAACGGTGATGTGGTGTGTATCCACGGGTCCTCCTGGCAAAACTTCCAGGACAACCCGAGAGGGGCTGGGTGGCTCTGTGAGGGACAGCACACTGTGGAGAGGGGTAAGTCCGGTCCTCACGCCGACTGCACCTGGCACTCATGCCAACCTCCTCCAGGAACACGCCTACGGTTTCCTCTGGGGGCACAGTGGTGAGTGGAGAGAGGTGAGGGAGGGGAACCAGGACATGCTGGGGTGGGCAGGGATGGTGACTTTGAAAGTGTTACCGAACTGACACCTGGGACTTACCCATCCCTCTGCTGTGCAGGCTCAGCTGCTCAGCCTGGCATGACTGCTGGGTGACTGTCAAGAGTTCAGGACCAAGAGATACTGCCACCAAGCTGGCAAGGTCAGACCTGTTTGCATCCAGGAGCTAGCGGGACTGATGGGCAAGTTGAGCACACACAGGAAGTGAAGCACGCAGATTTGCCCTGACACTGCAGAGAACTCGAACTCCTGACCACAGCTCACCCCTGAACTCACTGGCACTCCTGCTGAGGACACCACCCCCCAGACCCTGCAGGCCACTCCAGAACATGTCTGTAGAAACAGCACGTGCCCACGAAGGACATGTCCAAGAACGTCTAGAGCAGCTGTCACAGGCGGCACAGCCCACGTACCCGCATGGATCTCGCAACTCTACTGTGGTCACTCAGCAAAGCAAGCAGAAAGAACACTGTGCATTTCTGAGGAATGCTGTGTGAGACGGAGACAGAGCGCACAGATCGGATGTCACTGATGGTTCAAACCCAAACCCATCCATGGGTGCGCTGATCAGCTGGGGAAACTGAGACCCAGGGATATTGGGCAATGTCTGGAAACATTTTAGTCTGCCACAATGGAGGGTGGGGGGAGGGGAGCTGTGGCATTACTAGGTCCAGGCCAGAGATGCTAATGTTCTATAGGGGACAGAACAGTGTGCCTGAAGATACAGAGCTTTAGGACCTGGAAACTCTAGCAAGCCAGGCCCGGGCTCAGAGAGGCACTGGTTCCTGGTGTTGTGTTCCATCAGTCTGGTAAGTAGGGCAGAACAGTTGGGTCAGCGTATCACATTTACTCAGTGAAAGGGAGGGGTCGGGCTCTGGGTATTCCAAAGGAAACAGGAACCACATGAATGCGCAGACTCATGGTAGCTGGTTCGGGCTCTTTCACATTTTCCAAACCACTGCCTCGCAGTGGGCAGGCATACATAATCACCCAGCTCCCGACATTTCTCACCCTGGCAACCGGCCTTCCAGAGTTTATAGTTCCCATGAAAATATGATGCCAGCGGCCCCCCCCCCAGTCTCCACCCCCAGCTAGTTGGTCAGTGTAAGATCCTCTCAGGGGTGTCCACAACTAGTCAGTGCTCAAAACCCACATGGGTCATCTGCTCGGCGGGTCAGTAGGCCAGTTTTGAAGAGCTGGGACTGTTACTTCTGCCTACCCTTGGCCATGGCTCCACTCAGTGCAACTCAGGACAAATGGGTGATGGGAGGTCCTAGGCAGACCCGGGGAAGATTCCATGAATGCTCTCGAGCTTAGCCTTTGTTCAGGTGAGGAAAGCCGTCAACCCAGTGATTCTGTGCTTTCCTGAAGGTCCCATCTGCTCAACGGTTGGCATTACTGTCACCACTGGGACCAAGATGATCAAGAGCCATGTGTGGTGTGGTCGCCTTTACTCCCCACAGTCAGAGGCTGAGAGGAGTTTAAGCCCAGCCTGGGCTGCGAGAGAGGGGAGAGGGGAGAGGGGAGAGGGGAGAGGAGAGAGAGAGAACCGACCCTGCCTCAAAGCAACAGCAGCAAAAACAAGCAAAATACAGAAAGACTGGCTTCAGAAGAGGAAGTAGGGAGGCTTGAAGTGTGACCTATGAGTCAAGCCAGACAACCCCCAAGAAGGCTAACAAGGCAGCCACAGGCTTTGAGCCTCCCAGAGGCCACGCCCACCTCCAAGATGAAGGACCAAGAATGCACAGGGCCCCAGAATTCAGGAGCAACAGCAGCAAAAACAAGCAAAATACAGAAAGACTGGCTTCAGAAGAGGAAGTAGGGAGGCTTGAAGTGTGACCTATGAGTCAAGCCAGACAACCCCCAAGAAGGCTAACAAGGCAGCCACAGGCTTTGAGCCTCCCAGAGGCCACGCCCACCTCCAAGATGAAGGACCAAGAATGCACAGGGCCCCAGAATTCAGGAGCAAACTGCAAATTCCAGAGAACTGATGGCTGGTGTATACCACGGCGGTTAAGTGGCCAGGGATGACCACGCATAGCCTAGTGTCCTGGGCTGTGGGATCCCTTCAGGATCAGCACCAGGTTTGACAGCAGGTGTCCACCACCCCCTGCCCTGCCTGTTGGCCATCTTGTTTTCCTTCTGGGCCCCCGCCTCTGCGTTTCTGGCCCTCATCTCCCATCTGCTGCCCATTTCCCTGGCCTCCGGGAAGAATTAGAGTATTTGTGGTAATGTGAGTCAGGGAAGCACGCACTCCTCCAGGGTGTCAACCAGGAAAGTGCACATACTCTCTCTGCTGCTGAGCCTCCATGAGGCCGGACACAGCCTCTACCTGGGTTATTCATGTGGCCAGACACTGACAGTTTCTAGAAAGCTCCTGTTGTAGCCATAAAAAAAAAAAGAGTAACAAAAAAATACAAGTAGTACATGTAGGCAGCTTTAGTCCCAACACTCAGGAGGCAGAGGCAGGAGGATCTCTGTGAGTTCAAGGCCAGCCTGGTCTACACAGCAAGTTCCAGGCCAGCTGGGTCTACAGGGAGACCATGTCTCCAAAACAAAATAAAGGTAGGCAGGACTGAAGAGATCTAATTCCTATAGAGCTACACACAGTAAGGAAACCGGGCCACTCCAGAGGGACTGCACAACACAGAAGTCAGCCTGCAGGACTTGCCCTCAGACGCCAGCAAGTGGTCACCAGAGACTGAGGACCGGGGTGTCAGGGGCCTACCTGCTCACGGCCTGCTGCTTCTGGCTGTCCTAATGAGGCCAGGTGACGTCCCCAAACTCACAAGGCTGGCAGGTGGCGGGTGGCAGGTGGAGACTGTGTGGGCTCTGCGATAGTCCAGTCAACAATCTATCGCTGTTGCCTGTGGGAATGCTGGGTTCTGGGGATTCCACACTCACCAGCCTCCAAATGCCTGCCAGCGATGGGCTCCCTCCGCAGGGTAGGCCAAAGGGCTATGAGCACCTGTCCTCAACACTCCCACACAGGCCCAGAGGCAAGTCAGTGCCAAGTCCCTAAGTGTACATAGCCCTGAGGCTGAAGGCCTGGTACACAGAGCAGTGACAGGGGAGGAGTATTTTTCTACACATACAGGATGTGCTTTTACATTTGTAAGCAGACTGGGGTCTCTGCTGGGCTTATTTTCCCAGGGGCACAATGCTGAGGGTTAGCAAGCCCCAGTTACAGAGTTAGGGTATGTGCTAGCCAGCTCAGCCCTGAGCACCAGGGTAGGACAGGCTGGCCAAGCACCCCTGGCAGAAGGGAATCAGGTGCTTTACAACAGGCTGGTGTCCCTGTGGCTGTGCCACTGTGCCGTCCAGCCTGCTGGGGAGTTGCAGTACTTCCATGGGCATGGCCAGCTGACCGGACATCTCACAAGCAGGGCTGCCCTGGGCAAATGGCTGGCCACTGGCAGCAGCAGTTTCACAAAGCAAGCTTGTCCTTGCTAACGATTAGGACATCAGATGGTGAATGAAGAGCCTGAGGAAGGCCCCTTCCACGCAGACCCTGCTCTGGAGAGCCAGCACTCAGGAATCGTCCACAGGGCCAGAAGCCGGGTCACATGTGGCATGCCCGCTGCTGGCAGCCTCTCCCCATCCCTGTTGAGGAGGTGGCACCTTCCCAGTGTCACACAAGTGAGAAGCCTTGACTGAGATTCAAGACAAGCATCTTGGGGATCCTGCAAGGATGCGGGAGTGGGGGAAGGCAGAGAACAAAAGCTGCCTCACCCTCCAATCAATGACTCAGCGACCCCAATGCCCTAACCAAGTGCCTGTAACCGGCCTTTTCCAAACCACCACAGCCAGGTTCTGGCTGAGCTCACAAGGGCTGCCCAGCACAGGCTGCCCAGCTGGAGGCCTTGGGAAAAGGCATTTCCATGCCAAGAAACACACCGCTTTAAACCAACTCTGATCTTTATTGAGGTTGACGTTATATCCTAGGAATCACTAAACTGTGTACAATTAGGGACACGGCATTAGAGAGGAGTGCACAGAGTTAAATGGCAGACTTGGGAAACGTCAATCTTCCTTGTTTTGCTCGCTTTCCTTCACACGTACACAGAAGCACGAATGCAGTTTGCAACCTTTCAATGCAATGAAGTCACAAGCGCCCATCTCTGCAGCCCAGCGTCTTAACTCCAAATGTTTGCTCTGCAGTGTGTACGCAAGCAGTTTTTCACCGCGCAATTACTAAAATGTACTTTTCCTGTGAAGAACCAGCAACGTAGGTTTTGTATTTATTTCCTCTTGAAGAAGTATTTCATCTCTGATAACTGGCTCATTTTTAATCATTTATCAAAAACTAAAGGGTAGGGGAGGAAAGTGTGATGGATTAAAAAATTTATTTTTTTTACGGAAAGATAAAATTCATTTTCACAGATTTACAGTGTTGCTGGTGTAGGGTTAGCCCTACAGGCATCAGACTGTCCAGTCCAGCATCCTTATCTCAGAAACCAGCATTATTTCAGAAGAACAGGTTGTGTTTATTTCCTTAAATCAAGCAGCAGTCTTTCCAACCAAATGATTTCGATTTGAAGTTAGAGGCCAGCATGAGCTGTGCTGTGCAGCAGACATCTCCTTTCTCCAGACCCACTTTTGCAGAGGGACAAAGTTTCTCTCTACAGAGCACTAGAGAGGCGGGAAGTCAGAGTCTGTGTTCTAGGGAGCAGCATCAGGCACACATACACGCACACGCACGCACGCACACACACAGCACACGCTCCAGGCAGGCCCATGCTACAGCAGGTCCACGCGGCGATAATACAGGAGGTAGGCTGTGCGTTCAGCAGCTGGCTTCACCACCTGGTACTGGTTAATCACCTTGACCGTCTGGTCATCGATGCGCAGCCAGCCATTGAGCCCGATCTGGAAGACGTCCGTAGTGTAATGGCCACCTGTCGCACTGTTGCCGTGATGGTAGACCACTGCAGGAAAGCACCGCGGGTACCCGGTGAGGACAGTCACTCTGCACTCTGTGGGCACCCACCCAATTCCCTAGGGGAGGTGTCCTGGCTGGAGCCCGAGGTCCACTGGCTCAGAGGCAGATGCGTGCACCTGTGGAAGGCCTCCCTCACGCAGTGCAGTACTGTCAAGGGCTGAACACCACGTGGAGCTCATATTCTCAAATTTTCAGACCTGAAAGCTCTCTGGGGCCCCTCAAAGTAAGCTGTTCTCTACAGAAAGTCTATGAGGCAGAACCCTGCCCAGGTACGGTCTAAACTCTGTTACTGAGGAAGCAGTACGCAGACCCACACTCACCTGCAAACAGCCTATAGGTTCTGTGGCATTTAAAATTCTTATTTTTAACCCCTGGAGAAAGCAGTTCTGAAAAACAAAACAGCAACACTTAGTCTGGGACAGATGCATGGGCTGCTGACAACCTCCACCCAGCCCCTTAGTGGATCTCTGAGTAAAGGGAGCTGTGCAGCCAGCTACAGAGCCCACCACAGCTGGACAGTGGACCCCCACGAAGCTCCCCACAAACCCTTAAAAAGACTGAACTATGGAAACAGTAAGAGGCACCTATTCCAGGACAAATAAAAAGAAACATCCCTGGAAACCCAGGAACTAAATTTCACATGTGAGTCCATCAGACTTTAGTCCGGGCAGGAGGAGGAAGTCAGCCCTGGAAAAGCAGCTCCCACACCTGGAGCTCAGCCCAGGTCTCCTCTGCTCCCCAGCCTCAGGCCCTACCTAGGTCAGGCCCTCGGGGCCCCACTCCTGTCTGAACTGTCAATTTGACTAGCCAGAGAAGCCCTTAAGAGTCAAGCACATTCCAGGTATCTGCAGGAGCGTTTCCAGAGGCCCTTTGACAGCGAGGGCTCACTCAGGTTCATCCCTCATGATTCCATCACAGCACACCAAGGGAAGCAGTGGAGGTGGCGACAGGCTTGGCTGGAGGAGGGGTCACTGGGGATGTATTCCTGGGGGCTGTACTTTGCCCAGGCCTCCTCCTGTACTTATCTCTGTTCCAGTCCATCACACATATCCCCCCAACATGATGGTCTGGCAAGGCACATGGTGGCAAGCAACCTTGGACTGAAACTCTTGAGAGCTGGAGCCCAAATGCACCCTCCTCTTTAAGCTGTTCTCCAGGTGTTCTGGTCACAGCGATGCAAAATAGCTTCCTAAAAAGCACTGCGAGTGGTGACTGGTGAAAGTATATGGCACAGCAGCAAAGCCACATCACTCAAAGGAATGGAGACGCCTCCCCCGCCTCACAGCTGCAGCCCCAGCTACTTGGTTACCCAGGAGAAACACAGTCAGCTGGGCACGACAGTGAGGAAGTGGTGGAAGGAGGGATAGAGGAGGAGAGGAGAGGAGAGGTGGGGTTGGGGTGGGGAGGGACATGCTAATGACAATGAAAGAGGAGCCAGGCACAGTGGCGCACGCCTTTAATGCCAACACTCGGGAGGCAGAGGCAGGCAGATCTTTGTGAATTCGAGGCCAGCCTGGTCTGCATAGCAAATCCAGGTCAGCTGGGGCTACAGGGAGACCCTGCTCAAAGACCAAAAAAAGAAGGGAAAAAGAAGACCACCCTAGTGGTATAGGTGCGTACGGGCTGAGTGGAGCGGCAGGGGTGGTCACGTGACCAGGTCCGTACCCTGGTTTCCCTAGGAGGAAGGAAGATCACTGCCTGAGCCTGGCTCTCATCTCTGTTCCTGGCTAATGACTAGCAGAAGGCAGACAGGCCCTGCCCCAGAGGTGGGCAGTCTGTGGCAGGAGGCTGGCAGTTCGGAGCTGTGTTACAACTGACCCCGAAGGTGACAGGGCAGTCACAGCACAGAGGAGTCAGCCCCACTGTGCTGAAGGCAACTCAAACATCTGGGCTTTACCTCTGCTGATCTCCAGGTCCACAGGATAGTCGATGTTTTTGACCAGCTTCTGACAGCCGCCAGTTTTCTCATAGACAAAGCGCTTCAGATGCAACACAAGGACGGGAGGTAGCTTTTCCAGAGTCACTCTCCGGCTGATCTCAACCTGAGACACAAGACGCACCAGGGCTCACAGGCCTGCTGGGCTGTAGCAGTGCACCCCCCACCCCTCCACTGCCTCCCAGGTCTGTGATGGAGAGTGCTGTCCACTGTGTGCGCCTGGCTCCAGACATACCATGAAGGGGCCCTCGGGCTGCAAGCTCAGCTGTGACATCCAGCAAGACCTGGGCTCTAGTCAGGAGAGGAGGCACACACCTTTAGTCATGGTGCTTGGGAAGGGGAGGCCGAGACAGAGGCAGGCGGATCTCTGTGAGATAAAGGCCAGCCTGGTCTACATAGCAAGTTCCAGGCCAGCTGGGGCTACAGGGAGACCCTGCCTCAAAAAAACCCACAGCTGAGCTCTGTGGCACAGGTCGGGATAAGACAAAAAGCTCACTGAGCAGCCCCTGGCCTGCAGCCTTCGTTTGCTCTGATGAACTGTTAGCACCCTTCTTCAAGTTCACATTCTAAGTAACCCAAACCCATCTGTCCTGTCACTGAACAGGCGGCAGTTTGGTTCCATCAACACACTCCTAAAGTGCTTTTTTTTTTTTGTCTTTTTGAGACAGGGTCTCCCTGTAGCCGCAGCTGTCCTGGAACTCACTCTGTAGATCAGGCTGGCCTTGAACTCAGAGATCGCCTGCCTCTGCCTCTGCCTCCTAAGTGCTGGGATCAAAGGTGTGTACTACCAAGCCCGGCTCATAAAAATAATTTTTTAATGCTAACCTTTAAAATGGGTAGTTCTGCCCACATGTATGTATATGCATGACATGTATGCCTGATGCCCATAGATCTCCTGGAACGGGAGTTACTGATGGTTGTGTGGGGGCTAGGAACCAAACCCTGGTCCTCTCAAAGAGCAGCAGTGCTCTTCACCTCTGAGCATCTCTCCAGTCACAAAGTACTTTTTAGCTGCAGCAAAAGGGAGCTAAAGAGACACTCCAGGGTCCTTCCTGCACCACCAGGGAGAAGTAGAAAACCTCCCAGAGGACACAGGCCAAAGACCAAGTTGCTGGCTCACAGCAGCAGCCATCCATCGTCACAGTCACAGCACCGCCCACTGACCCACTGACAGCGGCCCTCAGCCAGACAGAAACCTCCCCAATATGGACACTTCAGTGCCCGCTTTCTGCCATGAAGGCCTCAGCTCTTAGCTTACTCACACCAGCAGCCAAGTTGCTGTCTTTGGCTCCTAGCACTTATGTTTCTAAACAAAATCACTCATCAGAAGCAAGTCAGATAATGTGGCACACAGTCAGGCCTATCTTCTGCAGAGCCCAGGGCCTTCCTCAGTGGCCCAAAGAGGACACTGCGGAAGCAGTACAGATGGGTGGTCTCTTTGCTCATCTCAATCTAGTGCATGAGGGACCTATCTGTTTGGACTAATCTAATCCCTGTAGACATGTTTTCTGTGCTGGGACCTCGTACTTTACCTTGTAGCCACCATTCGCTGCCACTGCCAGGTATTTAAATATAGCTTCACCTAAGCCGGGCATGGTGGCGCATGCCTTTAATCCCAGCCCTCAGGAGGCAGAGGTAAGGGATCGTTGTGAGTTCAAGGCCAGCCTGGTCTACATAATGAGTTCAGGTCAGCTGGGACTACAGGGAGACCCTGTCTCAAAAAGACAAAAATAAATAAATAATAAAGTTTCACAAGAACACCAGGAACTGCACTCAGGATACAGAGGCAGGCAGATCTCTGAGTTCCAGGCTACCCTGATCTACATAGAGTTTCATAACTGCTAGAGCCGTACAGCAAGACCCTGAATCACAACAGCAGGAATTCTCCAGAAGAGGGCTGCCCTAGCTCGATGGCAGTCACCTGGCCATGGCATCTCTATGACCTCCAGCACAGCAGAGAACAGACCCACAGGAGTGCCAGAAGCTGCCCCCCTCTCAACTGAGCTACAATCCACAACTGCTAACTGATGAAGGTAGAAACCCAAGGACTGCATCCTTCCAAAGCATCCACGAGCAGGGGGCATCCACAGTGGCTTCCACCATCAGGGCCCTGCCGATCTGGGATCAAATGCAGAACAGAGGGCTACGTCCCTTTACATCCCAACTGAGCCAGTGAAAGCTGTGTGGCCACCAAGTGCCAACAAGCTGTTCGGCCTCCTCTGGAATCTGTCAGACCAGAAATGGTCAGAAAATGAAACGTGCTCAGGGTCAGGACCCAAGAGACGCTTCCTCAGGTCATGGGCATCTGAGTGAAGCGGCTGTGGGACTGCCTGCTCCTGAAAACATGGACATTCTCAGGACAGCAAGGCAACTCGGGGGAGAAGTGGGCTCAGGGCCATTCTGCTCTGTCCAAACTTGGGAGCCTTGGCACAGGAGCCAGGCTGACTGCGAGCATACCTCCTGCTTGGTTTTTGTGGTATAACCTTGGACAGACTCTCTTGCCACCAAGCTTTCCAAGGCATCCTGGACGGTGCGTATCTTTTCAGACTGGATATCCAGCTGCAACGTGAAAAATGGCTGCAAAGTGGCAGACTCCTTTGAACTCTGCTGGTAAACCACAGACCTAAGAAGCGAGAGCAGAAGATGTAAGAGGCCACGTCTTGTCACTGTCCCTTAAGATTAACCAGCAGGAGAGGAATGAACACCCACACAGGATCATTCAGTGTCACCCTCAGAAGACTACACGGAACAGAAAAGCCAAAAGTACCGAATTTAAAAATAACTCAGCTAATTACCACATTCAGTATTAGTAACTGAGTTCTCCGATGGGTAAATTTTCCTGGCTCAAGTGTTTCACGTTCCAAAGTCTTCGACCTCCATGCCACACTATTAATTTGTGCACCAGTTAACAAATGTGACCATCTGGATTGCCATGATTTTAAGAACCACAGCCTGTTCTGATGAACCAGAGGGTTGTTTTTTAAATATATATGTTTTAATTTTTTATTTATTATTTTTATTTTATGTGTATGTATGTATCGTCTACATGTAGGTTAAGTGCACCCGTGTCGCGCAATGCCCACGTAGGTCAGAAGAGCTGTCGGATCCCCTGGGACTGGAGTTACAGACAGTTGTTAACGGTCATGTGGGTGCTGGGATTTGAGCACAGGTCTTCTGCAAGAACAACCAGTGCTCTTAACTGCTAAGTCATCTCTCCAACCCCGAAACAAAGGGCTTTTAAATACTGCTTTCCCACTATTAAAAAAAGACATACAAAAGGGCTGGAGCATTGGCTCAGCAGTTAAGAGCACTGGCTGATCTTACAGAGGAGTGGGGTTCAGTTCCAGCACCCACATGGTGGCTAACAACCATCAGAAACTCCAGTTCCAGGGGAATCTGACACCCTCTTCTGGTCTCTGTAGGCACTACATGCACGGGTACACTTACATTCATACAAGCAAAACACATAAAATTTTAAAAAAAAATTATTTTTAAACTTTAAAAAAGTGCCATACAGAAAGAACATGTGTCATGGCTAGTAAGAAACCAGGTTAGTGATGAGGAGCAAGAGACCAGCCGCAGGGAAAAAGGAGACCAGCTCCGCAGGGAGAAAGGAGACCAGCCCCGCAGGGAGGAGGCCAGTTCAGCCTTGTATCCTTAGCTGCTTTTTTTTTAAAAAAATATTTCATTTATTATATTTTTATGTGTGTATTATGCCTACATGTAGGTAAGTGCACCCGTGCCATGCAATGCCCACAGAGGACAGAAGAGGCTGTCAGGTTCCCTGGGACTGGAGTTAAGGACAGTTGTTAGCAGCCATGTGGGTGCTGGGATTCGAACCCAGGTCTTCTGCAAGAACAACCAGTGTTCTTAACTTCTGAACCATCTCTCCAGCCCCTTCTTAGCTGCTTTTGCATTTAATTTTTTTTCAAGTTCTTCTGAGAAAGAACTGTGTTCGGCCCATCTCTCTTTTAGCCTCGACAAGGAAACACTGTGGAATTCAACAAGGGATCCCATTTTTGAAGTCTTGGTGACCTAGTTTATGAGCAAAGTTAAAATAGGTGACGACAGGGACTCGGGTGTCCCTGGGCAGATGCCATGCAGACCAGCTAAAAGCTGTTCTGTCCAGGGGCTCAGATCCCCACGCCTGTCCTGAGGGGTGACGGCAAACACCGAAGTTTCCCAGGTTCCGTAAAGCCGTGACCGAAGAGGAAGAAATCAAGGTGTGAGCTTCAACTCAAAAGTCCTGTATTTCCTCAGGAAAGGACAAGAAAATGTGATTTCCCTAGGGAAACCAAAAAAAAAGCCCCTAAGATTGAACCTTGATTGAACCTTGTGTTAGGAGAGAATCTTTCAACTGGCTGGAATAAAGAGTCATGCTTTATGTCTGAGAAGTTTCTGAGTTAAAAGAGTTCCAGGCCAGCTGGGGCTACAGGGAGACCGTACCTCAAAAGAAGACAACAAAACAAAAACTTCCTTCTCGGTCCAGCTTCGTGGCTCACATCTGTAACCTTGGACTTGGAAGGCTGAGATAGAACTGTACTAGTTTGAGGCCAACCTGAGTTACTATAGAGACCAGCCTTTAAAAAATAAATAATAAATAAATGAAATTCCTTATTCAGGACTGGGTGGCAGTATGCAAGATGCCCAGGACTCCTTCCTCAGCATCTCAGAGAACTGGGTTTGGAAGCACACAGCTGTGATCCAGCTCTGAGGAGGTAGAGGAAGAAAGATCAGAAACGCAGTCACCTGGGATGCGGGAGATAAACTGGAGAACATGTTAATAATTACTATTCCTTCTCACTGCCTTACTGTTTTCACACAGAGAGGACAGTGAGCTACAACACAAACCCCCGACGGAGACCACAGCTAGTGGCCAGAGAGCCAGGGAGCTCTGTGCAGTGGAGCCCGGCACGTGCCACTGTTGTTCTTTCTTTTTTTGGTCTTTTTGAGACAGGGTCTCCCTGTAGCCCCAGCAGTCCTGGAACTCACTATGGAGACCAGACTGGCCTTGAACTCACAGAGATCCGCCTGCCTCTGCCTCCCGAGTGCTGGGATTAAAGGTGTGCACCACCACGCCCGGCTTTTTAAGTCTTTTTGAGACAGGGTCTCCCTATAGCCCCAGCTGGCCTAGAACTTGCTATATAGACCAGGCTGGTCTTGAACTCACAGAGATCTGCCTGTCTCTGCCTCCCAAGTGCAGAGGGATTAAAGGCATCTGCCACCATGCCCAGCCCCCACAGTTGTTCTTAAACACTTTCAGGATCTTTGTCTGTTAGCTGTTCTGACACTACCTATGACAAAGCATGGTCTGTGGTTGCCTGCACTTGGTAACCCCTCATCTCCGAGGCTGTTGGGCTGCTGCAGCAAGGGGCAGTCACCTTTCTCTGCTGCTCATCAACCTGGGCCTCTTGCCCCTCCATGGCACAGGAAATGCCGTCCAAGGCAAATCACAGTGGCCGTGGTCAGGGCAGGGTGCTCCCCAGACCACAGCAGCCGGCATGGCCCCATGGAGACTCCAGAATGCCAGAGGGAAAAGGAGCACAAAGTTTAGCTCGTGGCACAGAACACAAGTGTGGCCTGTACAAGGTCATTGAGCTGTTCAACTAGCTCCTTGGCCCTCCGAGTAGAGGGGTCACACTTCAGGAGATCTACAGGAGAGCAGAGCTGGTTGTGGATGATGAGGAAGGGAGCTGTCTTTCAAAGACAGCATGGGTCCCACTAAAACATCACCCATGGAAGCTGCACGCGGGACCCTCAGAAAAGCTCTATGTACTGAAAGGCTCTAATGCAAATCTAAAAAAAAAAAAAAAAAAAACCCTCAGAACTGGAGAGATGCCTCAGCAGTTAAGAGCTGCTCTTGCAGAGGACCTAGGTTTGATTCCCAGCACCCACACGATGTCTAACAACCATCCATAACTCTAGTTCCGGGGGATCCATTGCTTTCTTCCGGCCTCCATGAGCATTGCATGACATGGGTGCACTTACATACATGCAGGCAATACACTTTTATATATAAAATTAAAACAGTAAAGCATTTTTATAAATCTCTTAGGATGGTGTGAAGGAGCAGAAAGCTGGTTCAGGGACTGGTGCAGAGCCAGTCACATGCCTTCCTGTTTGACAGTGCCTCCCTCCACTCCTCTACTTTCTAGTTCACCAGCTGCTGACATCTGAACTCCAATCCATTCACAACCATCACCAAGATACAGAAATAACCCACATGTTCAACAGGCAGAGAATGTGTGTGGATGCACACAATGGAGCACTGTTCAGCCTTGGAAAAGGAAATCCTGTCATTTGTCATATGGATGGACCCACATTTTAAACACACATAATCAATTTATTTAAATGCATAACTAAGAGCTGGGTGTGGTGGTCCACACCTTTAGTCCCAGCACTCAGGAGGCAGGGGCAGGTGGACCTTGGTAGGTTCTAGGCCAGCCTGGTCTACATAGTGAGTCCCAGGCCAGTGGGGCTACAGGGAGACCCTGTCTCAAAAAGACCATTGAGAGATAGATTAGATAGATAGATAGATAGATAGATGATAGACAGACAGACAGATAGACATAGATAGATAGATAAAATCCAACCAGATACATGAATTTCTTTGAGCACAAATGAGTCAGCTAGCTTTCTGAATACCAGGCTGAGGGAGCACAGGGCACAGGGCCCTGGCAGCACAGGGAAGGGCATGTGAAGGGCGGGCAGGGGCAAAGCATGAGCAGCAAGAAGCACCAAGGTGCTCTCCACCTCCCCCTGCGACAAACATGGAAAAGCAGAAACCTGACGTGTCCACCGAAGATGCCAGTGATCGGAGTCTCCACAAAATCTGCCTGTCGGGTGACAGACGTCTTGTTCCTGGGACCCACTTGTTCCCACTCATCCTCACTCCCTTCCCCTGGCTCGTCTAGCTCTTCATCCTCCACCAAGTGGCTCCTGGGTCCATTGGAAATGGTAAATTCTGAAAAGGAGAGGGTCTGCTTAGGCTACTCTTTTCAGAACAGCAGAAAATAACAGCAAGCAAAGGTTCTACATGAGCCATCTTGGCAGACTTGTCAGGGCTGGCTAGAAGGCTCAGCAGTAAAGGCACTTGCTACCAAGCCAATGACCTGTGTTAAATCTCCAAGACCCACATGTTGGAGAGGACTGACTCCCACAAGTTGTCCTCTGACCTCCACATGTGTGTCATGGTGAATAAATGTTAAACAAAAAAAAAAAAATCAAAACTAGTTTAAAAGAAAAATCTGAGCAAGCTCAGCATTAAGATCAGAGTAACCAATTACCACATACAGTATCACTGGATCCTGGTCTGCATTAACCACCAGCAAGACAAGCTTGGAAAAGTCAGGCACAGTGGCACATGCCTATAATCCCAGCACTCAGAGAGACTGAGGCAGAGGGACTAAGAGTTCCAGCCCAGCCTGGGCTAGAGAGTAAGACCCTGTCTCAAAAAACCAAGACATTCTTGGGACAACTGGAGAATTTGCAGATGCTCTGGAAAGGAGACTTAACTACATAATTATAAGAGGTTTGGTTGGAGTGAGACTGTGGCCTGTGGCTGTGGGGGAGAGGAGCCTTAGCCTCAGGAACAATCCTTTAGCACTGAGGGTGAACTGAACTGTTACCTCCAACTGTGTATCATTCAGGAAAAATGTGCACAGGCAGCACGCACAGAAAGACTAACAATGTGTAACACTGACCACCAGTACAACACACTAGCACAGACATGCCCACACTGCACAGCCTGTCCTGCACCCCTCCATCAAGCTGCTCCTCTCCCAATGCTTGTGCTCTCCTTTGAATAAGGAATGTCCCAAAATGGGAGTTGGAGAGGTGGCTTAGCAGTTAAGAGCACTGGCTGCTCTTGCAGAGGACCTGGGTTTGATTCTTAGCACCTACAACACCTAACAACTGTTCAACAACTGTTCATAACTCCACTTCTAGGGGATCTAACACCTTCTTCTGATCTCCGAGGGCACTGCATGACACAGGTGCACTTACACACAAGCAGGCAATACACTCATGCACACACACACACACACACACACACACACACATATATATATATTTTTTTTGTCTTTTTGAGACAGGGTCTCCTTGTAGCCCCAGCTGTCCTGGAACTCACTATGTAGACCAGGCTGGCCTCAAACTCACAAAGATCCACCTGCCTCTGCCTCCGGAGTGCTGGGATTAAAGGTGTGTGCCACCGCGCCCAGCAAAATAAAATATTTTTTAAAAAGAAATGGGGGCTGGAGAGATGGCTCAATGGTTAAGAGCACTGCCGTTTTTGCAAAGGACCTGAGTTCAAATTCCAACACTCACATGGTGGCTAACAACCATCTGTAACTCCAGTTCCAGGGTATCTGACTCCCTCTTTGGTCCTCTACAGGCAATGCATGACACAGGTGCGCTTACACACATGCAGGCAATACACTCATACACATAAAATAAAAAACAATATTTTTTAAAAAGGAAATGTCTCCCCAGGCTTGTGCTCCACTTGGTTCCCAGCTGGTGATGCAGTTTGGGGAGGTCACAGAGTCTGTGGGAGGTGGGGCCTTGCTGTTGAAGCGGGTCACTGGGGGGGGGCTGCTCTCAGAGTTCACAGCCTGCCCCATCTCCCTCTCTGCTTCCTGTGTGCAGGTAAAATGTGATCAGTCTGGGAACCCACCATGGTGGGATTACCCTCTGAAATCTTAGGCCAAAATAAACCCTTTTCTAAGCTGCGTTTGGTCATGGAGTTTTATCACAGAAGCAGAAAAGAACTAACAACATAGCTCCCAGGTCCAAGTGTAAGAGCAAGGCTGGACTCTGGTTAGCTGCATTCATCCAAACCAATGACAGCATGTCAACGACATACAAGACCTCACGAGACAGACAAACGGCTGCTGGGAAGGAGGCCCTCAGCCTTCCTTTCTTAACAGCTCTGCCAGAATGCCTCACACCCTCCAAACCAAAACCTACTTTCGTTGGTGGGGGAGAGGAGCTTCTTCAGGCTCAGCATCTCCTCGTGAAGTCCATTGAGAATGAAGCCTAGGTATTCCTCAGCATCTTCCTGTCGGCCCTGCGGAGGTAAGACATGGTCTTGTCAGTCTCAACTGACTGCTGTCCACATACCTGAGGATCACTTGTGTCTGGGCTAACATTTTCAAGACTAGTGCTTTGGCTGAGTTCCTAGGGGACCAGAGGGAGGAACTGATTACATCTTATTTTCTACAATAGAGAATTTTCTCAAGTATATTTTTAATTTTCTTTTTTTCTGAGACAGGGTCTCCTTGTGGCCCCAGCTATCCTGGAACTCACTATGTAGACCAGGCTGGCCTTGAACTCACAAAGATCCGCCTGCCTCTGCCTCCTGCCTCCCAAGTGCTAGGATTAAAGGCGTGAGGCAACACACCTGGCCTATTTTTAATTTTCTACAACATATACATTATAGTGTTAAAAAATAAAAATAACACCAGGTGTGGTGGCGCACGCCTGTAGTTCCAGCACTTGGAAGGCAGAGGCAGGCAGATCTCTGTGAGTTCAAGGCCAGCCTGGTCTACATAGTGAGTTCCAGGACAGCTGGGGCTACAGGGAGACCCTGCTTCAAAAAGAATAACGATTTTTCAATTTTATGTGTATCCATGCATTGCCTGCATGTAGGTAAGTGCACCCATGTCATGCAATGCCTGCGGAGGTCAGAAGAGGCTGTCGGATCCCCTAGGACTGGAGTTACGGACAGTTGTTAGCTGCCATGTGGGTGCTGGGATTCAAACCCAGGTCTTCTGCAAGAACAGCCGGTGTTCTTAACTGCTGAGCCATCTCTCCAGCCCCCCCTTCTTTAATTTTATTTATTATTTTTAGAATAACAATTATTATTATTATTATCTTAATCTTTTTGAGACAGGGTCTCCCTGTAGCTCCAGCTGTCCTGGAACTCACTAGGTAGACCAGGCTGGCCTCGAACTCACAAAGATCTGCCTGCCTCTGCCTCCCAAGTGCTGAGATTAAAGGCATGCGCCACCACGCCCAGCCCTAGAATAACAATTACTTTAAAACTGTTTTTAAAAAATGAAATAAGGGGCTGGGGAGATGGTTCAGCAATTAAAGAGCACTGACTGCATTTGCAAAGGACCCAAGTTTGGTTCCCAGCACTCACATGACAGCTAACAACCATCTATAACTCCAGTTGGGAGGGGATCTGATGCCCTCTTCTGACCTCTGTGGGCACTGTATAACACGGGTGCACTTACACACATGCAGGCAGTATATTCATACATATAAAATTTTAAAAAAAAACAGACCAGGAACAAGATGCAGAGGGCCAGTTCACTGTGGTGCCCGAGCTAGTGCTCACTCAGAGAAGGGTACAAGGGCAGCTCCACCCTCCCCTCTTGCATACTGTGAACAGGAAACCACTGCAGAGAGGATGTGGCTTAGATAGAGAGGCCTGAAGAACCACCATGTGCCTGAGGTCTGGGGAGCGCACTGTCTGCTCTCTGGGCGGACCCACTGTCAGGCAAGTGCTGCTGCAGTGCACGTGCTCTGTACACATAGAGTAAGGTTAGAGGGGCACAGCCCCTAGGCATGGGGCAGAAGGTCCCCAAGAGGCTGACAGGAAGGTCACAAGTCCAAGGCCAGCCCAGGCAATTTAGTGAGACCGAACAAAAGGGGCAGGAAAGACGGCTCAGCAGTTATAAGTGCTGCACACACATCAGGTGGTTCACAACTAACTCCAGCTGCAGGGGATTGGAGGCTGGCACTCATGTGCCCATATTCACACACAGACCTATACACATAGACCAATTCAAAACAGAGAGAGAGAAAAATATTTTTTAAAGATTAAAACAGAGGGCTGGGGCTATAGCTCAGTGGGTAGTGTGTGCCTCTGGCCTGAGCTCAATTCCTTAGCACAGCCAAAACTAAAAGCAGACAAAGCAAACAAGCCCCTGCCCCTGCACAGACAAGAGCATAGCCCAGGGTGCAGTAAGGAGTTCACACAGCAGGCCTGGGGCTGGGCTCCAGGAAAGGCCTGCCAGACCTTTCTTGGCCCTTGGGTGGCATCTGATAACTTGGACTGCAGAAAGATTTCCATCACTCTAAGAACTGATAAGGGACTATGCCTGAACTCCCTGTGTAAGTAATGTAGTTTGGGCTGAAAACCTGTTTTCCTCCCAGGCATTTGGAATTTGGAGAGCTAGGCAGAGTGCGCCCGTGTGACCAGCTACAGGGGAAATTCCTAGACACCTGAGTCCTAGGGAGCTTCCCTGAGTGATTCCACAGACCAAGCAGATTGCAGCATGATGCTGGAGGATCAGTGCATGTGGCAGCATGGCAGGGGAGGACTCCAGCATCTTCTCCTTGTTCTCATCTGCTCTGCATTCATCTCCCGCAGGACCACACTCATGACATACCAGCTGCTGAGTTCTGACTCCTGCCAGAGATCACTAGACCCATCCATCTCAATGGAGCTTCCGAAAGATGGATTTGCTCCTCGGCAGCCCTCCTGAGCATAGCCCTGAAGGGCTGAGCCTCAGGGAGCCTCCCTGTGTACCCTACCTCTGCTGCCCTGGAGCCGGCCTCCTCCAGGGCCCACAGCAGCTACATGCTGCCACCTTCACGTGTCTTTCTGTTCACGGCACTACACTTCTAATCCCTACCAGGCTTGTTTGTGGCATCCCTGACACTGTCCCAAGTAATGGGAGATGTAACCTAAGCCAACACCAGCGGGTATTACAGACATTTGAAAAGTTTAAAACTATGCAGCTGGAGCCGGGTGTGGTGGTGCACGCCTTTGATCCCAGCACTTGGGAGGCAGAGGTAGGTGAATCTCTGAGGCCAGACTAGTCTACAGAGCAAGTTCCAGGCCAGCTGGGGCTACAGGGAGACCCTGTCTCAAAAAAGACCAA